ATATATATATATTAATAAATGCATACCAAATGGACAATAAAATTGTTTGCAATAGCAAAACTAGACATGATTCCTAACCCTAACCCTAATTTAACTAGGAAATTCCAAATCCACTTAAATTCCATTCCCACTTGCAACATATATATTACAGCTGTTTCAAAAAGATGTGGAAAACGATTTCCATATACCCATATGGGGAATCAGAGAATTTAAAAATTCTAAAAATTAAAGAACCGATTGGAGCGGGTCTTGAAAACTTTGGAAAACTTGGAAATCTCCCGCAATATGATGATCTGCCCGTTCCACATCTTTTTGAAAACAGCTATAATATTGCTAATTTTAACCGGGGGGAGAATTCACCGAGGTGTTATATCTAAAAAACCTACTAGCTAACTTACGTCAGGGCGCTAAGTAGAGCCCTCAAAAACCTTATGCTAACTAAAATTGGTCCTTAATAACTAACCCTAAGCTTTGTCTAAAATTATATATCCAAATCTTAAATTTTAATAATAATTAAAGGGAGGAATTTTACCCCCGGTTAATCATACGTAGTAATTTTCTTAATAATTAACAATAAAATTAAAAATACGTATAAATCTTAAAGCTTATCTGTTTTTGTATTGTATAATTTGTATACGTATTAGTAACACATTAAATATAAGTCAGTTAATTAGACATATCGATATTGCAACTAATTGATCTATATTTGTGTGTGTTAATTTTGTTTATTATTTAATAAATAAACAATTTCTTACCACTAAATAAAAACCGGGACAAATTTACATCGAAATTTTGGATGTACGTATCGATTATTTGACTATAACGATACTATAACGATAACAAAAATTTACATGTCATATCGTAAATGCACGCTGTCGGGTAATTTAAGTCCGAATTTTATTGTACGTATGCGTATACTGATCAAATGATGTGTGGGAAAGTACTTATAGAGCTTATAGATGGTGCATTTATGGAAATTGATCTGGGATTGTTTTTTAAATAGAACAATTTCAGCCACATTATCCATAATCTTATACGTAAAACTTTGCACGCAACCTTCTTTCATTGTCCGACAGCCATGCATACTTTAGCGGCCTAAACAATTAGTTATTTTACATTGTGCGACTACGGACTTAATCCGTATCGGGCACTACTAAAATCCGACCCTATACACATTACAGCATTATGTCATAGAGCCAACATTCATTCAAAAATCACGTTTGTATTTTCGTGCTGGGATCTGCAAGTCCCCCATAAAAATTAAGAGTTACTTAGTTTGTATTACGTAACTATATAAATAGTACACAATTATTTTTAAACAGTTTTGTTTTCTCTTTCTTCGATGTAAAAATCACGATCCTAATTATTTTTTGTGACTACTTCCTACACTTAACTAATAATACCATTTTATTAACAATGACATCCGAAGGGATACCAATTCATATAAAAAAGCCTATGATTCATACGAATATATCCGAAGAAAGCATGCTTGACTCAACGTCCGAAATTACATCAACTGAAACTTTGCAAGAGACATCAATTACAAAATCATCGGACGTTATATCACAAATAATTCAATTTCTTTCGGCTGTTTTCAAATTTATGGCTTCAAAAGATCCCTCATTACGAACTTTTGCACCAGAAATAGCTTTCCTTTTGGATGCTGTTATGGACTTTTTTTCGACAACATCAAAAATTAATTTAATATTATATCTAATGATTTTCTTCGCATGGAGTTATCTACAGAAATCTCCTTTAATATTGCTGATTCTTGGATGCGCTTTTGGCTATATGCTTCGGAGTAATTCTGATGGATCTAGCCAGAAAAAGATTTTTTTGGCACAAGAATCTTATATACAACAAAATACACAAAATTCTCTACAGGTGATTCTTATTATACGTTATTTTTAATAGGACAGTGCTTCTGAAATTCAGTATTAATACTTGTGTTGTTCCGATAACTAAGGCCATTGAATGTGAAAAAGCAACTTCTTCAGAACTTTCTATTACCCCTCGAGTAGATGATTCATTAAATAAAGCATTTGATTTTATCGTTCGGGATATAGTTGTTTTTTATTATGATCAAATAAATTCAAACAAGGATTCCGAACTTTACATTCATGTACGAAGTGCCATGAATGTTATGGCAACGAATTTGTCTTTGTGCCTCCAGAATGTTGATAAAGTAGAATTAGGAATCATGTCTAGTTTTGCTATTGCAAACAATTTTATTGTCCATTTGGTATGCATTTATTAATATATATATAT